CACTGAGTATTAGAAATAGGAGTTTACCTTCTGTGCGTTCAAGCATATACATGCATGTGGGGAGAAAACTCCCCCCAAAACTTAATGTTTCCAGAAGTAACCAGCAATTCTGACTGGTCGGGTTTGGGGGTGCGCAGCCTAAGAGAAATCAGGAGGCGCCCTCTTCTCCCTGCAGTCAGGGTCAGACCGTTTTACTGTTGCTGAAGAAGAACATTAAGAAAAGCTAAGAGCGAGAGAGTCTCCTGCTCGAAAATCCTCTGTACGGCACCTGCCCCGGCAGCGTGTCCGAGGAAAGCCAGGCAGGCTGCGATGTGCTTGCTGGAGGGGATGCCCGTATCGAGCAGCTGCTGAAAAGGAGTGCAGAGCGGTCAAGGCCAGGATTTATTGGAAACCAAGGTTTGTACTGTTCTCTTGGAAACAGAAAGATTGTTTTATTTTTGCAAACAGAAATCTAGTTTGTGGTTAGCTTCTGGCAGCAGGTGGCTGCTTTGGGCCCTCTCTGAAAATGAGCACAAATAAAAACACATTTTAGCCTGCTACGAAGACAAAACAGCGCCCATATGGTTCTCTGCTTGCACAGAAGTTTATCCTGAAACCCGTCGCCCAAGAGGTAAAGGGGAGAGGTTTCAGCCTATCTGGGAGGCGCTGTGTCCTGGGCACCTGCTAGACCAGGATTTCTTGTTTGTTAAGGGAAACTCTCTGCCACGTCTTCCCATTGAAGAATTTGCATGGGTATCTGCTACGCTGTAATCCCCCAGCCAGAAAAGGATTACTGCCTCGATCAACACATAATGCAGATTTTTCTCTCTTGTATTTAACAGTTTCGCTCCATTTCACGGAGCTCCATTTCCCACCGGGAAAAGGGCTGGATCTCCCCATTTTTTTTAAAAACAGAAACCACAATATCTGTATTATATTCTTGTACGTATGGTTTGTATCCTGAAACAGCTACGAAAGGGGACTAAGGAATCACTGTCTCCTCCCAGCCTCAGCCCTTGCTTATGCTCACACCTGCAGGCTGTACGTACTACAACGTGCTACAGGCTTCAGCCGAGATCGGCCTTTTTTTCCCCTCCATATGGGAGTGAACCCTCTGCCCCGGCAAGGGCTGTTGGAGGGGAGCGACCACGGTCTGACTTGAAGCATCGCTTATTTTCTGCCCGGTGAGGCATCGTGCCCTGAACGCTGCTCAGGGCATACAGCACCTCCACAGTCGTAAAACCCAACAGCGAGAAGCGTAGGTTAAAGTGCTTATTTTTTTACAGTAAACACACTATTAATCAGTTCATACTTCAGCATATAGAATACACTTACCACGCTATCTGAGCCCCACGTGTAATCTAAAAAGGTTGCAACGCAAACACATTAGCCCTAAGTAGACTTTCTTAGTGGCTTGACTTACGCTGGCTAAAATCAGAGGCCTGGAGCAGAAGTTTCCACTCTCGGTTTGCTTTGGGGAAAAAAAAAGTATATTTCTAGTTGTGGAGGTTGTAGAGCGAAGCCTGAAGATGTTACCTGCTTGCACCCTCAGACACAGGCACTAAACAGCAAAGAAAGAGATCCAAAACAGTATTAAGCGATGATTTGGAAGGCTTGATTCAAGGTTTTTGAGTGCTTAGGACCGGCAACGTGTGCGCAGCAAGTGACGGTCAGAAATGACAAGGCAGCTGGTTGGGAGTGTTTATGATGCTCCAGTTATTTTACCATCTTTGAGCAAACAGAAGTGATACTGCATTACAAGTACGAACACCGGTGTCTAATTTACCCACTGAACTTCCTCATATTAACCCGGGGACAATTACTATTTGCCAAATCAGGCAGTGCGTAAGTGAAAGGCTAGAACAAGGCATAGCCTGTCCCTCCAGCACTGGCAGCTACGTGGCGATTCCTCCTCCTCCTCCTCCTCCTCGGTTGGGATATTCGTGGCTGGCGCGTGCTGTGCTGGCACTGGGTTCCCTTACCGAGGACCCGATGGACTCCTCAGAGCGGGGCAGTGTCCGTGCGAAGGCAGCCGGTGGCAGGGACCACTTGTTTCCTTTCGGAGACAAGCAAGACCATTTTATTGCCATATGGGCACAGCGAGGAGCTCGTCCTGGGTGCTGGTTTCTTCCAGAGCTATACCGGCTTTTATCAGAAATAACCTTCCCAGACAAACGAAGGCCAAAATAACGGGACTTCTGTCTTGACGATGCGATGCCGCAGGGCTGCAGTTACCATCAACTTCCAGTGAAAGCTTTGCAGGTCCGAGCTCCGCGCCGGGACAGCCATTCAACAGAGAAACGGCATTTTTTAGGCAAGGCGGAGGGTGCTGTTGGAGCCCGGGGCAGGAGGAGGGACCCTGCTCGCCGCCAGTGCGGAGGCCGGGGTCCCCATGCGGGGACGGGTGCTGCTGGACCCCCTTCCGTGGCTGGCTCCTTCCCAGCCTGAGCATCCCTCCAGGAAAACAGGAAAAAACAAGAGGAAGGCAGAGAGGGAAAACCCAAAGATTATGAAATAAAATACAGGCAGGGGTGGGAGAGGGGGAGCTGAGCGTGACCAACACCGGAGGACACAGGACAACGTTACAGGTGGGGAGCTGAGGCTGGACTATCTAAAAAAGAGAAGAAACCTCATTAGGCAACAACAGGCAGGTGCTCCAGGAATAACTCAGCACTAGGGGACACTATTGTACCGTAAATTGCAGCATAGGCAGCAGAAAAAAGTCCAGTTTCAAGCAAGAAACTGAACACCTCGCTTTCCTTTTTTAGGCATTTCTGACAGAGACACTGCACCAGGGTGGCACTTCGTCCCCCTTCCCAACTCCTGTCGTTTTTACAGCCCATACAAATGCTGCAATTTCTAACTCGCCTCATGACGGTAACGGGTCCTGTTTCCTGGCACATATTTCTCTCCAGGTCCCTATTCCTGAGCAAAATCCGATGGGCATTCGCTTTTCTGTGTGCCACGGGGCAAAGTCACAAGCAGGGGACAACCGCCCTTGCCTCTCACCTGCCGCCGGGCAGAGCCTGCCCGGAGCGAAACCCAGTTTCTGCCGAGCCGATGGCAAAGCTCCCTCCTCACCAGTACAGGCTGGAGTTTTCTAACTAAATAACACGTTGCAGATCCCACACGTATTTTTTGAAAACGTTAAGTAGAAAAATGTCATTCTCGGCAGACTTTTCCATGCAGGAACCCCTGTGTGATGCGTGACTGCACAAGATACCCAAATGCACCAGCCTTACCAAAAGCATCGCTTCCCGCCAAGTGTCTTACAAGCATTTTCTATCCGTAAATACAGGTTTACCAAGGTCCCGGCTGCTATTTGTTGGGGTGCTCCACCTCCACAAGACCTACCGAGACGCCAGCTGCCGTCAGAAGTGGTTTGGCTCTGGCAGGTCCCCACACCGGCAGCCCCAGAGGGTGCCCCGAGTCCAGGGAAGCTGGGCTACAGCAAAGGCCAGTTTGGCTGGACCAAACTCCAGCTCCGAGAGGCCGGGGCAGCGAGTCCTCCAACATCTCAGCCCGCTCCAGGTGCTGCCCTCAGCAGCTGCTGTGCTGCTTTGACCAAGCTTTCATTATATCATTATAAATGATTATTACCTGAATATTACACGCTAGTGCTGTGTGTAGATAAAAGTGTATTGTAGGAAAGAAGAATCTGTCTGCAGAGACTTTAAAATAAGACACAGAAAACAGTAATTGTTAAAATTTAACTTGCAACATTTAATTTTCAGCAATCTTTTTTTAAATAGTCTTTCCTACTGCACAAAAAACACTGCCATTTCTCTTGCCATAACCATTGTCTCATTAAAAAAAAAAAGATAAAAAGGAAAAAAAAAACCCTCTGGTATAATAAAAATGCTTTGCAACACACAAACGTATATAGCTTTATTGAACAATATTTTAAAATTTGGGAATGTGCATATTATTTCTACATATTCTGAAACTCAGTTTTCCATGATTATTTCTATTTACAGTTGCACAGTGCCTTTAATGCTTGGAGACACAGCTATAATACTCAATGCTAACCCTTGAAAAGAAGTTTTAGCCCACTCTTTTACACCTGCTCTCTCAAAGTAGTCTACAGTTATATCTGTATAAAAAGCTAAAAGCTCTGCCCTCCTGTGGGGTTAGGGGGAACTGTAACACTCCTCTACAAGAACAGCTTTCAGCCCTTTTCCACTTTACAGATCCTTAACATTTTCTAAAGGGGTTTCAGATCTTGTTGAAAATTCACATCCATAAATTGTTCTGCAGATGAATTTGCCTTTTTAAGTGCCTTTTGCTGACCCAGGGATATGCAGACTGTGGCGTAAAGAGTGAACTTGCACTCTTCTGTGTATCTGTAGAGATAATTTCTCAAGTAGACCCTTGCCCCCAAGCCAAACTCCTTTTGCTCGCTCTTATTCTACAGTATTAAAACTGTTTTCTTTAAGATAGCATCAAGTAGCTTCATAAATACCATATCAAAACATACTTGCTATTCAGTTGGAAAAGTGGTTGATAAATAAGAGTCTTAATCCTACAAGAATTTCTATTTCTGTCTCGATGTATCACGCATCTCGGGCTGGGCTTTGCTCCAGCAAAAGGCAGGCAGCGCTACTTTTCCGCAGATTCACTAGAAAAGCACAGGGATGTTTCCTTCTGTCCAAGATTTTGAAGTCTTTCTTTACATAAGAAACATAGCCCAATCTGGTTTTTCAATCATACTGTACTCAAAATAAGATTCACTCATGTCTCATCCAGACTCAGACTCTTGATCTCCAGGTCTTCCTAGAGATCTTTCCAAGGGCCTGGGGTTGCCTCTTTTCTGCAAGGTGTGAGCAAGGTGAACGCTCTTGAACAGGGTCAAATTTTATGTTTTTATTTATATATATATATATATATATA